TTTGAAAACATTCTCAAAAATGCTTTTCAAAGGGGAGAAAAGAATAGTAAAGTTTCAGCTGAATCTAAAGGGGTCGGGTTCAAAAGTGGTCGATTTGGCATGGAATACCCCATATATTTATTAATTGCTTTTTTGTACATTTACATTTTTGCAATAGAGGTTACAATAGTATTTCGGTCTTTTATTTACTAAAGTATTACTAAGAATTTAAAATTTAGAAATAAAGATAATTTTAGTTTACAATGTTACATAGTTTGGATCCTCTTAAGCTACAGAAACTTACAATATTATGATAGAGTGATTTTAGTTCGTTTGGCTTGTGTAGGTTTAATAGTTCATTTAAAGTGTTGTTTGATTTATTGAGTTTAATGCTATCAAAGAGTTTTGGTCTGATTTTATTAAGAATAGGACATCTAAATAGGAAATGAGTCAAGGTATCTTTTTCTCCTGTCTCAAACAGGACAGTTAGAAAATGGGAAAAATTCGTTCACTTGACCATTAGTTATGATTTTAAAATAAAAATTGTTTGCAGTGCATATTTGTGCGAATACTTTCTTAATTTTTAAGTCAACATTGCATTTGAGATATCTATTTGTGTTTGGTTTGCAAACAACATTAGATTCCAGGTATGCAATATTGCTAGTCTGAATTAAGATTTTTTCATTCAGAATGTTTTTATATTTATTTAAGAGTGTTTCACATGCTATTTCCCATGTTCTACTGTCTCTTGTGTCAATGAGATACATGTAATTATTGTCTACTGATTTTATAAAATTACATATTTGGGCAAACCAGTTAAGCTCGGCAGATTTTTCATTGTTTTTATATACTGTGATTTGTTTCATGAGACATATATGCGGCAGTCTATTTTTGTCCATTCTTAATATATTACCCTGGCGGTTTCGGCAACACGGTGAAAGCACAGTCGATTGACGGTTGTTTCACGGTCGTTTCACCGTATAAAGTTCGTTCTTACCGAGCGATCTATCAGTCAGCATCGGATACTGTTGTGAACGATGTCTACTATTAATTTATTGAATATATACGGTGTATACGCATGTGAATCTACGATGTTATGACCCATGCTGTACGCTTAATATACTGTCGAAATACGGTGATTTTACGTTACTGTCACGGACAATAAAATAAAAAAAAATACTTTGGACAGTCTAGACCGGGACTCGAACGCGGTTCAAATGGTCGCGTGCCCGAAACTTTACCAGTTGGGCTATCCGAGGCAACGCGCGGGGTATTCGATTCAGTGACATGATGTGTCAAAACCAAGTCATTTTTTTCATTGTACAGATAAAAATAGCTTAAATAAAGTTATATTTTTTCCAGGACTTCAAAATAATAATCGTAATAAATGATTCAAATTTTTGATGATTACGAAATTCTTGATTTCGAAATTGCGGTGAAATTATTAACTGTATAAAAAAAGATTTGAAAAAGAAATTGCTAAAAATTTAATTGTTAAAAAATCTCAGAATAATTTTTCTTGATAACAAACAATTTTTCCGTAATTTCGTAATTAAAGTTTTCGTCTCTAAAAAAAAAAAAAAAAAAACTCAAATTTTTAATAATGGATTCAAATTTTTGAATTACGGTGAAAGTATTTGACGTGTAGAAAATAAGTTTATAGTTAAGTTGAAATTAAATTATAATTTATTAATTAATTATTGAATAAAATATCCCCCAATTAAAAAAAAAAAGAAAAACAATGTTGATTATTTAGATTATTTAGATTTATTAATGCCAAGGCACAGGTCAGATGGCAACTATAAAATATTACATAATAATATAAAAATATATAGCGATCATAATTTATAATTTATGGTTTGAGTATTTTTATGGAAATAAAATAAAATAAAATGTTGTCAGCAATTTTTCTTCGTTGACTAGTAAAACTTTCCTGACTTACCGACATTATACGCTCGTTTCACGGTCGTTTTACTTACAAACTACCGTGCAATGACAGACGATCGATCGATGATGTATGATTTTTACTTGGGTAAAAAATCGAAGAAGTCAAGTAAAAATTTGGTTTTTCGAAGAGTGAAGTATGATAATTATACAGAATAAAAATTATAAAGTAACAGTGAAAAACTTTCACAATGATACTCGTCGTTCACTGTTAAATAACGGCCGTTCGACAGTCAAGTGACGGTCATTCGACGACCATTTGTCGACACTGTGAATTCACGGTACATTCACCGTCGTTTCACGATCATTTTACTGTGAACCCGAATCCGCCAGGGAACGAAAAACAAATTTATGTACATGTATATTTCATTTAAATATTGGCGCTTACTTGAAGTACTACTAGCGCTACATTACGGTCATAAGAAACACTGCGCCGTAACTTGGCTACTTCGGAAAAAAAATATCTGGCTACCCTGCCGGCGGAATATATAGGCAGTCACAGGTGTGATACGAAAGTGCGAATACCCGTGGTCAAGCCAGTCAAATCTTTTTATATAACAATTAGTAGTTATTGTTTAATAACCATTTAATTAATTTGCTGTTTAGTTTGTTAATAATCAATTTGTTGATTTTTGGCCGATTGTGCTGACATATTCTGGTAAGTCCTCGAATGTTATTCCACCGTGGTAATTACTGAGAATCTCCCGGGTGTGAACCGGCGCTGGTTTTCTACTTGAGGCCGCCATCTTTACCACGTGGCTGGCACATAGTAAATTTTTATATTAAATTGTTTAATGGCGAATTAATTCAATAGACTCGGATTAATTTAATACGCAATTGCTTAGACAAAAATTTGTACTACGTCATTTTTATGACCATTATTATTTCCGAGCGCAATATTATTATAATTTAAGTTGAAGAGAAAGATATTTAATTTGTTAATCAAGAATTCCACGAAGGATTTATTTGTTATTCGAAAATAGAATTAAGTTGGCCCACGGAGGATCTCAGTAATTTAAACCTCTTAGGCCATAATCTGAAAAAATTTATATTTGGAAATTTATTCTTAATTAATTCATTTTCTTTAAATATTTTCTTAGATTAATTTCTTTGTGCTGATTACCTAGCTTTCCTAGATTATTTTCCTATGACTCATCTTCCTATCTTAGTTAAATAATTTGAAATACTATTTTATTTATTTATTTTATTTTAAGTCGCTTTTTGACAACTAGGTCATTAACGACTACTGTTTACATAGTTTAATTATATAAAGTTATATACATTAGGGTGGGCCAAAAAAAAAACTTTTAATTTTTTTTTCTTTAGCTACCGTGAAAATATCGTCCAAGATGACAAAAAAAAAATTCTGGTAGAGTTTAAGCTTTTAATATCAATATCTAGAGGTGTCACGTGGTGATTTTTGATTTCCCATTTAAATAACACGGGAATTTTTTTTTTTAATTTTGATGTATCTCAACGAGTTATAGTGTGATAAAAATAAATAGATATTTTTGTAAGAAATTGAACGGCCTACAAAAAAGGTCTGACATAATTTTTCGCTAAGTCGACTCGATTAAAAGTTATTCGCAGGTAAAGTTCAAATTAAAATAATATACGATGACTTTCACAATTTTTTATATTTTTTAACAAACTAGAACTTAATTTTTGCGCGCAAGCGTGCGCGTCATATTTGTTGTCATGATATATTAATGTGTTGTTTATGTATAGTATATTCACTTTCAACCAATCAGAATGAGAATATTTATTTTCGACCAATCATAACACGAATAGATTGGTTTCACATACATTTCATCCCAATTTTATTATGGGACTAGAATTTAATTTTCGCGCGCAAGCGCGCGCGTCATATTTATTGTCATGATATATTTATGTGTCATTTATGTATATTATATTCACTTTTAACCAATCAGAATGAGAATATTTATTTTCGACCAATCACATCACGAATAGATTGGTTTCACATACATTTCATCTTAATTTTATTATGGGATAAACGGCTTAAAATCATAATACAACATGTTTTTCGTGACTTTTCTTGTTTTTACTTCCCAAATTGATTGAGTAAAACTTATGTTAAATGATTACCTACTCCCAATACGGATTGCGGGGGTGGGTATTAACAATGAAAATTTTCAATTTAATGGCTATAGTTCCTACAGACTTAATTTGGTAGTAGTCTTTTATTTGTCATGTAGAGACCATCTCAATACGGATTTCAATAAATTCTACTTCCAATAGGGATTGCGTGGGTGGGTGTTAGAATTTTTAAAATTTCAATTTCCAAACTGTAACTTCTATAAACTCTAAATTTGGTAGGAATCTTTTGGTGTAATCTTCTCTTAAAGCTCAGCTAAGAATAGATTTTATCAAATTTCAACTTCAATAGGGGTTGCGAGGGCGTTAAAAATTAACAATTCTTATTTCCAAATAATAGTTTCTATGGACTCAAAATTTTGTAGGAATCTTTTATTTTTGTTGGAGAAACCATCTCGAACAAAATTTTATGAAATCCTTTCCCCCTACAGGAGTGCAGGCGTGTTGATTTTCAAAAATTTATATTCTTCAAATCCAGTACATACACTGAAAAAACAAATTAACTTGATTAGAGAGAAAAATTCTAGAATCAAGAAAATAATTTTGAAGATGGTAATTTTTTTGAATCAAGACGAAAAATTCTTGAATCAGGTGAAATTTTCTTAAATCAAGAAAAATGTATTAGGTCAAGAATTTTTCTACTCAAATCAAGAAGATTAAGTTTTTCAAAATTATATACTTGATTCAAGAACATTTTTTTTCTGTGTACAGAAATAAAATTTGATAGAACCTCAAGAAAAACAGAAAATTCCTGAAATGGCCTCCACGGTCAACTGATTTGAATATTTTTTTTTCTTAATAATTAGATATCAGCTAAATTTGGGAAGTGAAAATGAGAAAAATCACGAAAAATATGTTGTTTTATGATTTTAAGCCGTTTATTTGTTAGAAAGTATAAAAAATTGTGAAAGTCATCGTATATTATTTTAATTTGAACTTTAACCGCGAATAACTTTTAACCGAGTTGACTTAGCGAAAAATTATATCAAACATTTTTTGTAGGCCGTTCAATTTCCTACAAAAATGTTTATTTATTTTTACCACACAATAACTCGTTGAGATACATCAAAATTCCAAAAAAAAAAAAAAAAAAATTCCCGTGTTATTTAAATGGGAAATCAAAAATCACCACGTGACACCTCTAGATATTGATATTAAGAGCTTAAACTCAATCAGAATTTTTTTTTCGTCTTCTTGGACGATATTTTCGCGGTAGCTAAAGAAAAAAAAATTAAAAGTTTTTTTTGGCCCACCCTAATATACATGTTAGGAGATTGACTTTTTTTAACTTAAGAAGAGTATTGCACGAATACATTGATCCTGATTACTCGGGAAAAAATGAATTTGCCTAATCATATATGGTTATATATAATCTCACTTATATATAATTAGACCTAAAAATTGGCCAGATCTAATCATATATAATTATATGTAATTAGATATAATTATATATAATTATTTCTATAAAAATAAAAAATATTCACCGCGAGCGGGGATCGAATCGGGGACCTGACGCTTCAAAGACCAACACACTACCTGTTTACCTACACGAGATTTACTGGAAGAGTAAAGCTTGAAATACCTACAACTAATGCAAAATCGAATACATAATCTATTTTTATGAGTTAAATTAATTAATACAGTTCCATTATTTCATCCACAAAAAACTATAGTTTAAAAGATTATTTATCATTTGAGTAGCAGACTCTGAAATGAAAACAGAGAATGTTTCATAGTAATCACAAAATTCATATATAATTAGTTATGATTCATATATAATTATATATGATTTATATATAATCATATATGATTTATATATAGTTATAAATGATTCTTATATAATCATATATGATTTCCGTATAGTTACACTGATATTGATAGAAGGATTTGTTTATATTTATTGAGCTTTATTGACTGATAATAAGTGATTTTTTTAACATCATAGGATTTAATATACACAGAAAGAAAATTTTCTTGACTGGAGAAAAAATTTCTTGGCTCAAGTAAATTTTCGGTCGCCTAAAGGATGACCGAAGTTGTCTTAGCCGAAGTAAAAATTTTTCCTGAAATTCTATTCTTGGTGGAAGTAATTTTTTCTTAGTTCAAATTATCATAAATACTTGATACAAGAAATTTTTATATTTGATCAAGATTTTTAGATACTTTAGGGAAGCAGCGCCACCTACTTCAGCTGAGAGAAAAATTTTCTCATCTTGAGAAAATTTTTCTCTTGAATATTTGATACCCATTTTAGATTATTTTAGCGCGCAATTATACATATTGAATGAAAAAAAATGATTCAATATTATTTGATCTTCCCATTTGACATGTTAATCAATAGAAATGTTAATGAAAATTTACTATCAAGATATTTAATTTTTTGGAGCAAGAGAAAAATTTTCTCAAGACAAGAAAATTTACTTCTGTCAAGAACTTAATTTTTTGGAGCAAGAGAGAAATTTTCTCAGAACAAAAAAAATTTTCTTGACTTAAATAAATTGTCTTGGATCAAGAAACGTATTTCTTAAAGCAAGAGAAGTGATTTGTTAGAATAAGTGAAATTTCTTGGGTAAAAAAATTTTTTTTTTCGCCCAAGTAAATAATTATGAAGAAAAATATTTTCTTGGCTCAAGTAAACCTTTCTTTCTGTGTACAATTATTATTATTTAATAAATTATTCATTAAATACGATTTAATAAATGTTAATAAATATTTGTTAACAGTTAACGAATATTTATTTAAAATCGAAAGCAAAAAAATAGCAATTTTCTTTTGACGTTTTTTATAACCCGACAGCTGGAATACATAACTGTAACACATGAAAATAATTCAAATCACTAAATAAATTATAACGTTTTTAATATTGAAAAATTTAAAAGATAATTATGAGCTGTGATAGAATTCGGTATGTTACAATAAACGTTATTATTATGTAATATAAATAATCAAAATCATTTATAAAGATGATTTTTGTTTATAAGCAATCTTCATATCATATGATATTGTAAATGGAACAAATTAACTCAACAAAATATTTATTAAATATAATCATTAAAAAATGCTGCATCTAATTACAGTCATTTGGGATAAATGTGCGCAGTGGGTAAGTGTGCGCAATCCCATGTATTTGGGACTCAAATGAATGGGTTTGCGCACGCTTACCCACTGCGCACATTTACCCCAAATGACTCTATATATTATTATGCAAAATTTTTTACAAGTTTCGTCATGAGGACCATTGCAATAGTTAGATTTCTATGAAATCTACTAAAAAAAAAAAAAAAAAAACCAACACACACACACATACACATACATATACACATACATACATACAGACACCACCGCGGGGGTAGTCAGGGAAGCTTCCTATGACCTTAAAACGTCGAGATCTAATGAAAACTCGATTTTTGCAAAACGGGGTAAAAACAATAACTTCCCGATTTTTGAAAATCTGAAATTTTTTGCGGGAAATTAAAAATTTTAAGCTACTGAAAAATAGTAGTAAAGCACCATATTTTCGGTATTTTGCCGGTAACAGAAAGTAGGCATCTTCTTTTCCGGTTTTTTACTGCAATAGTACCGCAGATATACAGTAAATATGCGGTACATTTACGGTTGAAATGCTGTTACT